AAACACCAAAGTCAGGACTGTTTGACTCTTAAACTTGGCTCTTAATCACAATGTTATACTGCCCTCCTTGCACTACAACTGCTTTGTAGATTTACAAGTAGTTGGATGGACCCTGTCACAGTAGAATGGAAGTGGTTACTTTCCATTTTGAAATGTCTTTACAAGGAGTGTGGACTTTGATGTCCATAATCCCACAGCTCTCCTAAAAAGGGCAAAACGGTGAGATTATGAGGAGCATCAAACACTTGAGTGGATCACCTACCAGGGTGGCTTCATGGCCAGGGAGCATCTGTGGTGGATTAAAAATGTCCACAAATTCTTTGATATTCCTCATTTCATGAGGTAGAGCTTAATTCCTTCCCTTTGAGTGTGAGCTGTACTTAGTGACTTGCTTCTAACAATAGAATGAAGCAGAAGTGAGAGTGTCTGACTTCTTAGTCCAGGTCATAAAGTCACTGCAGCTATTTCCTTGGTCTCTCTTTCTCTTGGATCACTCACTCTTCTTGAGGACACTTAAGAAGCCCTAAGGACAGGTCCATGTGTTGAGGAACTGAGGCTTTCTGCCAACAACCATGTGAGTGCACCATCTTGTAAGTGAATCTTCTAGCCTCAGTCAAGCCTTCAGATGACTGCTGCCCTGGCCAACCTCTTGACTTCTACCTCATGATTGACCCTGAGCCAGAGCCACCCAGCTAAGCTGCTCCTGAATTCCTGACCCACAGATACTCTGAGATAATAAATACTTGTTATTTTAAGGTAAGTTTTGTAGTACTTTGTTAGATATTCATAGATAACTACAGCATTCCCAGGGGAGTAATGGAAATGTAGTAAAATTCCCTTAAATTCTACAAGTCTGAACCAAAAGGAAATTAGCTCCTTTCTGACAACTGGAGGTTTCCATTGCTTCTGTTTTCAGGCTAAAAAATAAAACAGAGGATTCCATGTCCACTTGTTCATGTAAAAATGCCCAAGAGAAAGAGGATCATTGACGGCACAACTTCTAGGAGGTGGTAGGGATGGGTATCAGGAAGTGACTCTGAGAGCATTGCGCTTGGAGATTCAAGTAATTAACGAACAGATATGAAGGAGCAATCAAACCTTCTCTCCTCAGACTTTGCTACTCAAAATGTAGCCTACGTATCAGGGGTATCATCATCACCACCCAGGAGCTTATCGGAGATGCAGATATTAGGCCCATCCTGCACCTACACTTTTTAAACAGGATTCCCAAGTGACTGTATATAAAGTCTAAGAGGCACAGTCCTAAGAAAATTCGAAAGCATCCTTCTAACCACACCAAGATGAACTGCCTTCCTCAAACCAAAGGGAAGGTGAGTATTTTAGTCTGGAAGTTAATTAGAACCCTTCCACCTCCTCCCACCAACCCCGCTCTGCCCCAGTGTCTGCCAAGAAAAACTGAAAAAAGACATCATGCAGAGTGAACAGTTAAGATGGATCTACCAAATCCAGCTTGTCTTCACTCTGCTTCCCACAGTGAAATGCCACACGGTGTGTGGGAGAGTGAGTGAGCACTTCTCTGCCTCTCACTGTTCCAACTCCTACCTTCCACAGGCTTTGGCTGGATGTGGATGCAAACCTTTTGCCCTCTACTCATTGATCACTTCCTGGGCCTGGAATCATGAGTGACTCCTCCCA